TTTTTTTTTTTTTTTTTTTTTTTACAATGATAGAACTGAAGACAAACAACAACATTCTGCAGCATTAAAAAAATGAAACAAGATGAAAAAGTAGAATGAAACTATTTTTAATGGATTATTTTGTGTTGGAATGGTTTTCCTCCACAGCTTAAGAGACAGGAGAGACTGTAGCTTCTCCAGAGGTACAGCTCTACAAGTAAATTCCAGCTTGGCTGGTAATATTCCCAGACATTGCAACACAAGTATCTGCACTGGTGAGTTGCTGGAACAGTCCGGGGTATGAATGAGGCATGTTCCAATGAACACCTTTGCCAAGCAGCTTCCATGCACAGCCCAGCAGCTGGAAGAGTCTGAGGCYCGTGCTCAGTAGGGGATTTGTATGCTGTCACCTTGTTTTGGAGGCTGGGATGAACAGACATGGGTTATTCCACACTGCTTGGTTTCTGCACTCAGGAATGTTCCCAGCCACAGCTGATTCACCAACAACAGCACAGCCCTGGGAGCTTCTCCACAGGTGTTAGGTAAGAGGAAGGGAATTAACTTTGACTGAAGAGGTTCTAACAACTACTTTCACAGCCGCAGAGTTTCACTGGAAATTAAATTTAGTAAGTTGCTTAAGAGCTCCTGTGGCTATGCCTAACGTAGAAAAATTTTTGTATAATTTTTTTTTTTCCACTTTGGCACTGTTTGAATGACTGTGCCCTATTAAGGAGCCARAGAAATACAAATCAGAACAATCCTTCCAAATTTCAAGTGAAGTATCTAACAAATGTTACTCCAYTGAGTGCTTTCTTATTTCCTTAGGTCCAGAAGTTACACTTTTTTATATATACACACACACACCAGCTTTTTAAAATCAAGACCCTTCTAGAATAAGAACCATTTCGGAATCAGTTCCCCAGGATGCATGAGGAAGCAACATATGGTAGAACCCAACAAAATACCCCAGCATCATAAGGAACCACTCAAAGCCAACTGCTTATTCCTTGAGAAAGTAACAGTCTGATAGTCTTCCACCTACTTCAGGTGATGCAACATGCTAAAGTAATTGCTTAAGATTATTCTCCATAATTTATAGGTTGATTAAATGGTTCTCTACAGCTTAAAACTCATATTGAGTTCCTGCTGAGTTAATTGAGAACATGCACTTTGTGCTGAAAGGCAGTAGAAAAAAAGGCTAAGAACAGTGTGTTGTATCTCAAAGGCCTTGTTGAAAAGTGTAACTCAGTCTTGGCAACAGTGTGAATAAGAAATTTATTTGAACAATTATGTAGAAATACCCCTTCTTGTCCTGCCAAGATCTTASTATGTATGTGAAAGAAACAGTGCTTCCATAATTCAAAATGCATTTGCTTCAAAAACGAAATAAATGTCAAGCAAAGAAACTGTGGGTATAAAAGTCAAGCACTGAACATAGCACAGTAAAACACAAAGGAACTGACAATCAATTAACTGTCTGAAMGAATGCAAAGGAAACAGCTGATTTGGATCAAAATAATGTCTAGAAACAACACCTCTTATCTTCTCAAATGCCAACAGATTTAATTTTAACATTGGCTTTGACAGCTGTCTTTTAGTATCTTGTAAAATCTCAGTAASTATTCAAAATTGTTAAAACCTTACTAAAGTGCCCTCCCTTCCACGCCCATCTTTACAGCAGAATTGTTAAAGAATTTCTACTTTGACAAAACCCTTAGTCAGAAGCTCTGCTATATGGTCTTTAATGATGCATGCCGCCTCAAGTGAAATCCTAAGTTTGTGTTAAATTCATTATCCCTTTACAGATTAAGTCTATGCTTATTTGTTACAAATTAAACAAATAGAGTGAAACCTATTAATAAATAAAATTTGTGCAATGGAAAAAATTTTGTCTGGTACTTTCATACACAAAGAAATTTYTGTACACTTACTCTAGCTCCACTTCAGTATGCTTCTCATTCAGTCACATGCACAGAGAGAATGCCAACGTTCCTGACACATTTCAACCATATTTAAAATTGTTTTTATGCTCTCATTCACTGCTTTTATTCTGTAGTAGAGCAAATGTTAAGAGCTTTGTGATTCCAAATTGTCCTGTTCCTGTTTTTCACTGAGAAACAATAGAGTCTTGTACATTCCTTTACATTTTTCAACTGCTGTAAAACARGGTTACGAATACTGAAGCAGACACAAAGCAGAAGGGAAATGCTTTTGGTAGAAACCTTTAATGTTATGTTCCAACATATGAGATAAAAATCAAGCCACTGTAGCATTTATCACTTCAGACAGGAATCAAAGCCAACCCAGTCACAGATGAGCAGGGCCTAGSTATAACTCAGGACTGCCTTCCAGCACTGCTTGKCAAAATGCAGGCTCAGCTCCCCTTCAGCAACACCACAAAGAGGACAAAACTGAAGTCCAAGGTATTTACTGTGATCAGTGACAGGTAACACTTTTATTTTAAAAATATTTTAAACATTAAGTGGGATATGAGAAATGCCCATCTGGTGTGATAGTCTGACATTCTGGTCAGATACTGGCAGACTTTGGCCACCACAAAGTGTCACTGACAGATGYAGCCACAAATCATGGTAAAGACAGTCTCAAACCGAGTTTTAATTTAAGAGGGATTTTTTCTTAGTTTAAAAAGAATGGCTGTATAGGACACCTTGATTCAAGAACATTCAAAGTCAGCTTCAKCAAACATTTACACACCGTTTCTTACCCTCTCTTCTTAGAAGTAAACCCTGACCTTTAAGAATTCTCTCTGTTTCATACTGAGACAAAAATTAATAACTACTTGAAATTAYAGAAAGCCTACAAATGGCTAATTAGATAGGTAGTATGTAATGTAACTAGTAATGCTAGTTAGTATGCAAAACAGTACATTGTTGCTGCCTACCTTTCACATAAATCAGCAAAGCTGATATAACTGAAAGTGCAACGTGAAGTGGCACCTTATGTATGTTACAGTTTAACTGGCATCAAGGATACTTTTAGCATAAGGATATGTGTTTTTCAACAGTGTCTGCCTAAATACATCATCTGCCAACCTTAAAAGTAATATTTAYTAAACCCTTGCCACTCCAAAGACTAGGAAAGATCTCCACAGACAGGAGCTATAGCAAACACAGAAAACCTGGAAACACAGAAATCCTGTGAAATCTAGTTCAACACCCAACTGCCAAATCTGAACCATTTTCAAATGCCTTTTCTCACAAGGAACATGACTTCTAGTCATACAATTAACATTTCAAAGGAAGTTGGTTCTTTTCTGAATTTTGCTGTTTTAGAATATACAGACTTCCGTTCGAGTCTAAACACGAATATCATGTTGTTCTTCCATCCTTGCAATACTTCGCAGATACGATGGCAGTTARGCTGTTGAGTGATATATGCCAAAGAGGAACTGAAAACAAATTCAAAGTCATGAAAGAATGCCTTTCCAGTTCCCTCTACATCTTGGCCACTTCTTACATTACTCTTCCAYACAAATGTCACAGAAATATTAATTTAGTGTGAAACTGTTTATACATAGAACACACAAGACAAGACACCTTCTGTAAATCATGGGAAAAGTACAGAGCAAGCTAAGATGCACTGAGCAAGATCCAAAGCTAGAAAAGGATCACCTCAAAATCTGATGGAGTTATTTAGTGAATTCTAATTTCAYGTCCCTCCAATAAATAGAAATTTTGTGTAAACATTAACAAGTATAACRAATTAGGTCTACTTTTCATACACATAGTATTTGGATTTGACTACCTGATTTATTAATATCTAAATATATTTTTCATTGTATATCTGAGCTCTCTTTATAATGAAAGAGCRTATTAAGTTTTACACATACCTGTAAGACACAAATATGCAGCTAAATACCGTTTTTCAAGGCCATCTTTATAGGTCTGAATCGCACCATAGATTGGAGGTAGAATGAAAATCAGGTTACTCACTGTGTTCCCTGTAGGACAAAAACACAAAGCAGAGATTTAGAATTGGGTACTATGCACTTAAACGAAATGTAACAAAATTACATTCATTCGTTAGAGACAGGTTCAACAGTTTTCAGCCAAAAAGCTACTCAGCCAGACACCACTGCTCTCCATCCCTGGCAGGTGCCCCTGTCCACAGAAAGAGGYGTGGAASTAGATGGTCTTGAAGRCCCCTTCCAAACCAAACCTTTCTRTAACTCTATCCTACATTCTACACAATGCAAAGAAAGGACATGTGCTGCAGAGACCAGAGAAAGCAATAAAAGCCAAGTGCCCAGGTCTTGTACAGTGATTTAGATTTGTTTTGKTTTTTTTTCCAAACTGCRCTGACCTAAGCAAAAGGGCAATGAAATCCTGTAAAGTGAAACAAAAGGAAATGGTGCATCTCTCAGCAGAAGAGATGCAGATTCAGCTTTTTATCTTAACCACAAATCATAATTTCAAGAATAGAGGTTATTTTATGGGAAGTAAATGYCATACCACTTGGGAAAATGAGCGAATCTGTTAAAAAGGCTTATATAAAATAAACTGCGCACTTTCACACACCATCAGTTAAACGTATATATAAAACTGAAATCTACTCTGCAAATATCCCAATGAAATATACAATTTATGAGGCTATGGAGACACCAATCCTTCCCTCCCCCATTTCTGTCTTTCTCATTCAGCAGAAAAGCCCAGAAGCATTTCACATTCCAGAACAAAACACAAGAGYGAGCAGGTCCTGTCCGAATCACAACCCTAATTCAAGCAGCTATTTTTCAGGGGTCCTACTTGCCAAGATCCATCCTAAATAAAAGGGAAAACTACCAAAATATGTTCATATAACCTGAAGGTATTGCAGCACCTCTGAAAACAAAAATCCATACTTYGCAGTTTTTAAGAAAATTCATACTCAAATAGAAAACTTCACTTCAGAACACATGTAGCAGAAGTGTACAGTTACCTTGAACAATGGAGTTCTTCTATATTCTCATAAAGTAGATACAAATCTCACTTTGAGACAGTCTTCTCCACWAGATAAAAATCACATCTGATTTTTATCCGATCTTCTTTAACATCATATGATGTTAACATCGTATCCTGCCCAGCCATGAATTTCACCAAGTTATAACARTCAAATCAGATGTGCCAGAGATCTCACTATTAGTCAGCTGTGCAGTAAGTTCCTCTATATAAAAGAAGCCCAGTTGAAATAAATGAAAAGGTTCTGCAAGGATATATAAGTTTATACCAATATAAAAGGCCTTTCATATGTTTAAATTCTTTGTGAAATCATTTCCCTTTTACCCCATTTCCACAGTGTTGCAATGGGTAGTGATTCACTTTCAGCAGAGAYCAGGTTTGGAAGAAATTCACTAAATGCTGTTGTGTGACACACTGACCATTGCCATGTCCTCCCATAAATCATGCAAACATGTCATTRAGCCTTGAAAATTAGAATAAAGGTTACACGGTCTGGATAGTGAAACTTCTGCTTTCTAAAGCAGTCCTCAACTATGCCAATTTTCAAGAGAAGTTAGAAGACATTATATAAATGTCACTGTTCAAGGTCATTTAGTTATGCAACTGTCAAAAACCTGGCAAAAATTCAAATGAAAATGCCAGACAAAAGAAATACCATGATGTTTATCCATAATTGGGAAGGCACATGACAATGGAAGAGAGTTGCAGTAGGATAAGAAACTTCAGATGGGTGTAAGAATGCAGAAAACAGATTCTTCTGTAGGAAAGGGAAGGTTTCAACACTTCCTGTAAAGCTATAATTATGTTAAATTATTGAAAATTTACAAGCATTTAATCTGGGACCATCTTGCTGAGAGAGGAAATACCATAGAGCTAATCTAGCTGTACATTCCTGCCACTCCTTCTCTGCACTTTTTGGCCCATATTATTCAGAACATTTGCAGCATGGATCAGGCAAGCCTATCTGCAAACATACTTATTGAAAGTTGACTGCATTTTTTTAAAAAGGGAAATGGGGGCAGGAGAACAATAAAGTCCTCTRGTGTGCTGCTAGCAAAATGAGTTTTTCAAGAACAAAAACTGCAAGGCCTCTTGCAAAGCTACAGTCCCCAGGAATGCATATTTCATAAAAGTCTATCTAGTCTTTACAGGATTATCCTCACACAGAATATCTTATAAATTCATTAAATGGGATTTTTACTAATTCCATAAAAAATGGCAGTGGGATATGCATAGAGCTTAGCAAAGAATACCAAGAAAGAAGAAATAGATGACACAAGTGCAGACTGGTAACTCTCAAGTTAATTACCAAACAAGGAAGTGAAACAAGCTTTGAAGGAAATAAATATGGAAGTTGAACAYGGAGAAATAGTTAAAACTGTCAGAAAATCTAATCTTTCTTCACTACATTTCCTTTTTTTGAAAGGAACATAATGCAGCAGAACTCCATGGGAAAATCAGAGACTGGAGAAATTGCAATTCAGGCATGAAGCAGAAGATATGTAAAATAATTAAAGAAGAAATCATTGGTTAGGCCTATGAGAAATAGAGTATATCAGAAATTTGATGAACACATATGGATGGACCTGGGCTTAACTCTGTACCGCATTCTTGTATTTCAATAGCAGATTCCTTGAATACTGGTCCAGGGAGTGACCTAATTTTTCTTGAGTGACCAAAGACTGCTTCTCAGCATTTTGTCTCCAACACGTCCATCAACAGAAAGGAAAAACCACATTATCTGAGGGAGAAATGAATGAACTTGCAGACTGAAATGACAAGAACAGGATTAAATATCACAGCCAAGAACGCACCTCTCAATGTGAATATGAATCCTTATTCCATATGTAGAATTATTATATTTGAAGGGGCAGAAAAGTGAATTTAGACKRYATGGTAACTGWCCCTAAACCATCATTGTAGGCACCAAACGCCCTAAATTAATTTSCAATAGAGGCAGGGAAAATTGTGATGTCATCACACAAGTCAACAGTAGAATACACTGTTCTCTAGTTATCGATAAAAGAAAAGAGAAAGCATCTCAAGTGCAGAGAATCCCCACTCAGATGGGAGTGATGAATGGGAGCCTACAATTTCAGAAGGGGCAAAAATTGCTCAGCTCAGCTCACTGAACAAAAAACAATGGCTAGATGGAATAAGACTGTGCTCTGTAAAGACATCATGGGTCAATGCCAAAGACAAAAGGGAGCTGTTTGAACTGAAGGATAATAATGACAAAAAACTAAATAGATTTAAACTAACCCTAAATAAATGCAGGCTAGAATAAAGAGGAAAGCTTCCCATTAAAGAGGAAATATTTACAACTGCTTCCCAACAATGAGCAGCATGATGAACCTGCTTTCAGGGTGGAACTCAGGAAGCTTCACAATGAGATTACATGATGGGGTAGATTATCATAGTACTAGACCAGACCACGTCCACAAAGATTACACATGGTACCAGATACAGGGCTAAAATAATGTCTAATCATAATAATGTGGCTGACTGCACAAATTTTTATAGAAGCCTTTCAAGACTGTTTTAATGCAAACCATTGTTTCAAAGTAATGTTTTATTCATTGAGAGAACACCACAGGTACCAGAAAAAAATCAAATTCATGCAAAACATCTTTTCAACAAGCTTCTGTCTGTAGGAAGTAGAACAGTATRTGTGTTAAACCACATCTGCACCCGATTCTACAAAAAGAGCAGCAAAACCTGACAAGTCTTTTTATAATGCATGCATATTCAGTCATCYTCAGGCCCTAAAAAGTACATGTATTATCATTAACACATGAAGATCTGCACAAAGACTGACCCCAAATACAAAGAAAAATTACCTAAAAGGGGAAMTAATATCTCCAGGCAAACCCAGGCACAATACACAGCATACTGTTGTAGGGACATGGTACACACAGTTGGGAAGGACACAAATTTGAAGTACCTTTCATAAAGTTTCCATTTTTCCAAAGATGTAATTAATTCCACACTAGAAATTAACTGCTATAATAAATTTGGACGAAGAGTCAAAAGAGGAAGAAAAAATAAAGTTGTAAATAAGTTGTAAAAGAACGTGATCGTAAAGGAATAAGAAACAGGATGCAAAAACATCAGGAACAATGCTGGGAGTTAGAATAAAKATGCTGTTTTCGAGGAGGGAGAAAAAGTGCTATCATAAAAAAGAAACAAAAATTAGCATGTTCATCTTCTGACAAGGTGATCAGTGTGATCTACCCTGTGTTAAGAGATGCCTTTTCCTATGTTTTTATAGAATAACTGCAAGATTGACCAGCCACAAGGAACTTTTCAAATTTTAAAATGTTCTTTCACTCTCTCTCAAACAAAGAATTTTCACTCTCTTACAATTTCTACAAGAGTCTCAAAATCAATAGAAATAAAAATTACCCTCAGAAAGTAAAGAAGAAAATGTCTGCAATTTAAAAACCTGACTATACATAAACAGCTCATTTAAAATATCAGGAGTAACAAACACAACATTCATTACAGTAAGATTTTTTATTACAGATTTTTGCATCTCACTGTGAAACAGGAGAAAGGTATATATTTCAGAAAATAGCAGCCACTTTCCTATGTTGTAATAGAGCCAAAGTACCCCTTTAAGTAAAATCCACAAACAAACAAAMAAGGTTTTGAGGCTGAAAACATCCATTTCATTGCCTGGATATCATGGTGCTCTGCATAGTTGATTCCTGGATCATGTAGCTTTATCTTTTCCCATCACTGCAGGAAGAAATTAAAAATAATTATAAAAAAACAAAGCCTGTCAGACAGCATCATGTAGAACTTGATTCATCCTTCCAGCTGCTTTCAGATATAAGGAATTCTATTTCATGGCTTTTATTTCTGGAATCATCTCATGCAGTTCTGGTGCAAACTACAGCTCATTATTAGTTACCACAGTTAAGGAAATTGCAAAGCAATGCAATTCCAGCACATTTGAGAGCACAATCATCTACCATTAGGTATGCTCTCTTTTAAAGAA